CTGAGGTCACAGACATTTTTGATTTACCATGACAAATTTCAGCTTCTAAATTCTACCATGGCCCTACTTCAAATCCCTGTTCCCTCAAAACCTCCTAGCCCCATCCACTCTGAACTAAAACTACTACTGTCAATGGAAGCAGCCTCATTTTCTGAGATAGACCCTTGCTTAAGACACTAAGTATTTGTGATGTGATAAAATAAGGGTTAAAATCTAGAAAATTCCCCTCTATCCAGTGTATTTGTTTTAAGTCTTTTACTTACACTTACTGTGTTATCTTTCTAACAATTATGTATGATAGGCAGCTGTCATACCCTTCACCCCCCCCCTCCTTTTTTTTTCCAACATGGCAGACTTAAGTTACTTGCAAATACTTAAATTTCCTCCTAATGAGATACAACGTTTATGTTTCCTCCCCTGATTGGGAAAGTTCTTTGACTTCTCAGACCAATAGATTTTGGTAGAAGTGATATTGTATGTCTCCGGGCCCACAGAAAACTAGCACTCTTGCACTTTCTGTTCCTTGAAATATTCTCCGGGAGCCTGGAGCCTCAGCGAAAGCAGCCCAACTACTCTGCTGGAGAGATCACATGGAGAGGAAGAAAGGACCAAGTGAGTAATTCGTTCTAGTTAATTCACCAAGCAACAGGGTGTGTGTGTGAAGCCAGATCCTTCTGACTAAAGTAGCCACTTGACAGGCAGAGTTAGAGTGAGAGAGCATGAGAGAGCAAGAGAGAGCAAGAAAGGTCTTCCTTTTTCCGTTGGTTCACCCCTCAAGTAGCCACTACGCCACTATGGCTGGCGCGTTGCGGCTGGCGCGCAGTGCCGATCCAAAGCCAGGAGTCAGGTGGTTCCTCCTGGCCTCCCTTGCGGGTGCAGGACCCAAGCACCTGGGCCATCCTCCACTGCACTCCCGGGCCACAGCAGAGAGCTGGCCTGGAAGAGGAGCAACCGGGACAGAATCCGGCGCCCCAAGTGGGACTAGAACCTGGAGTGCCAGCGCCGCAGGTTGAGGATTAGCCTAGTGAGCCACGGCGCCAGCCCTAAAGTAGCCACTTTTTAACCTGATACAATTTCATGGTGGCAGAGGAATTGCCTCACTAAACCTGGGCAAATGTCTGACTCACAGCATTTTAAATTCTAGTGACATAGTTGTTATCATTTATCTCCAACTTATGGGAAAGTTTATTTCATATCAGTGGTTATCAGGAACCTACATGACTTGTCCAGAGTTACTTAGGTATTACAAGTATTAACTAGACTTCAAACAAAGGAAGTATAGATCCAAGTACGTAAGTTAAATCACTCTGTTATACTCTATCACCAGAAAAAATAACCACAGCACCTGGATCATCCTGAGGGAAAGCCTTCCCCAAGCTGTGCCACTTCCTGCTAAGTGACTACAAGGTAAGTAATAAAATTTCTTATTTTTTTATTCATCCATCCAATAAATGTTTATTGGACACAAACTAAGTGCCAGACCTTTATCTGGGAATTGTCTCTCACCCACCTGTTTTCTCAGCACACATCTTAACATTTTTTGTTGTTCAGGGGATGGGGCATCCTTCTTAATACAGGATCAAGACCTGTAGCTTGGGCACTGTGCTTCTGAGTAATTTAATATAGTGCATGTCATTCACAAGGAGTTCTACAATCCTATCTGTAGGAAACTGCAATAACAGAAAGATCAAAGCATCAATTACTTCTAGGAGACCAGGGCACTGGAGAACTACTCAAAATCTATTTGTGCACATTCACATACAGTTAAAAGCAGCCGTGAAAGCACTTCAGCTCTCCTTTGATCTGAAATCAACATCCGCCAAGGTCCATCGGAAATTAACTCCTCAAATGATGCCTTCCTAGATTATGCCTTAAGAATGAACCAGTAGATTTTTGAATGACCATCCTTCTTAGACATTTGAACCCATGTGTTTTCTTTCTCCTAGAAGAGTCTTGCTTTAGGCCAACTGTGGTTTAACGATGTTATTAAATTAACAGAAGACAGAAGAGAGTATCATTTGGAAAATGCCTTAAGTATGATATCACAGTTAAGCCTCAGCCCACAGTGTTGGCATCCCATATGGGTGCTGGTTCGAGTCCCCGATGTTCCACTTCCAATCCCGCTCCCTGCTAACGTACCTGGAAAAGCAACAGAGCATGGCCCAAGTGATTGGGGCCCTGCACTCACATGGGGAGACCCAGAGGAATCTCCTGGCTCCTGGCCTTGATGTGGCCCAGCCCTGAATGTTTTGGCCATTTGGGGAGTGAGCCAGCAGATGGAAAGTATCTCTCTCTTTCTCTATTTTTCAAACAAATAAATCCTCAAGAAAAAAAGAAAGAAATTCAATCTCTCCTATTTTTTCCTGACCTTTCTGAAGTATCTCCTTCAGATCAGAGTGTTAACAAGCCATTGCCATCCAAGAATGTCAGCTAGATTTCACAGATTGATTAATGCTTTTAAGACTGCCCCTTTTTCACATGAAGTCACCAGGTCTGGGAATTATTCTAAACCTTGGTTAGAATACAAGGAGGTGGTGGGTCACCAGACCTAACATAGGTTTAACATTGTCCTCCAATGTACTTGAAACCAGAGTAAGCTGAGAAATGAGATTTTACCAAGTTCAGGACAGAGTTCTGACAGCCAGCTGGAAAGATAAGAAACAAAAAGTCCCCAAACTGGTACTTGGAACACCTGCCTCCCATATCAGAGTGCCTGTATTTAGTCCTGGATCCACTCCCGATTCCCCCTTCCTGCTGGTGTGCACTCTGGCAGGCAGCCAGTGATGGCTCAAGCAGTTCAGTCCCTGCCATCCTTGTGGGAGACCAGGACAGAGGTCGCAGTGCCTGGGTTTGGCCTGGCCCAGCCCTGGCTCTTCTGGCATTTGGGAAGTGAATGAGAGGATGGAAGACACCTGTTTGTCTTTCTTTCTTCATTTCTCTTTCAAATAAAACAAGTTCAAAGCCATTAGAGTAAGAAATTGCTTCTAGTTAGTTTTCACACAGAATGCAGTACATTTTTTAGTCTTTCATCTTCATTTGATCAATTCTGCTAACTGGTGGCTTTCCATCAAGAGTATGTGTTTATACCCCCTTTAACAAAAGAGTGTCCACAGATTTCTATGTCATTTGTATAGCCTCAGTAGATAGAAGAGGAAATGCATAGAAGTATAACCTAATTATTAATGGACTCCAAGCAAAGGCAACACAGATCAGAGGGAGATTGTTGCAGAGGGCATTCCTGGATAGCTACCACCTCTAGAATGACTCTGACATTCAGAGTCAAATAGCTAGCAAGACTTCTGCAACTTGAAATGAACTCTTTGGAAGTTCTCTTAATTCATAGAAAGAATTTAGGAACTCACCAATTTGCTTCCATGTATGTATCTGCTGCAGTAGGCAAAGCCACAACCAGACAACTACCATGGTTTAGTCCCCAAATCCCTGTGCACCATTAAATGCTCCATCCGTTACTGAAAATTTGGCCTTCAAAGGGACTACAGAATCAGCCATTCTGATGAAAAAAGAAGCCATTTGCTCCTCTGCTTCCCACAGAGTTAGCAGAATATATTCTGACAGAAACAAAACAAGTCTGCCAAGACCTGTGCAAACAGAACTATCCTTTCACCAACAATCAACAGATCTGTTCCTGAGCTACAGAGAGTCATAATAGAAATATATATTGCCTTTTATCTTCTTTTCAGTGAGTAGAGTGAGGTGTCAGGAGTTATTGCTTGAATACCAGTAGAGAAGAGCTATTTTTTTCCCCTTTTGAACATGTGCATAGGAATGCATGGAACAGCACAAGCAATTCTAAAACTGCTATGCCAGTCAGGTTCTTAGTTTTGAAAACACATAAAATTGAGCTAATAACATCATTAGCACATATAGTTTCAAAATGTTCTATGAAGTCATATAGGGAACTGTCTGCATATTTCTGATGAAAGAAGAGAAAAAAAAAAAGACAACACATTTGCCTCCACCTAGCTCAAATAAACTTAATTCAGAAAGATGGGAACACATAGATGGTTTAATTGATTATTGACTTTAAGTTTGCAATGTCCATTGGAGACAATGCAACAACACAATGATGATATTAAAAGATTCAATTATGGATAATACCTTAAAACTTAGAAGCAGAAGTACAAGTACTGATCTACAGAATTTTCCACAAGCAGTAACTAGGCTAGGGGTAATTTCCCCACAAGCAATTGGAATGTCTTATTTTATGCCAGAGCATTTAAGTCTAATAACTCGATTAACCTCTTACCCCCTACTAACTAGATTTATGAAATGCCAAGGGAGTCAGCAAAGTATTAAGCCTTAGCTTGGATATAATTACTTTCAAGTGGAGAAACAGCAACCTTACCACGAAACTAAGGACTTCCTGCCTAGCTAAATTCAAACCTTCGAATTTTCTAATGTAATTAGTATCTTGGTCAAATATAAAGGAAACAAAATGGGCCAAAAAATGACAAGTGATTAATCAAGACTTAATAGTAAACACAAAGACTGCATTTTAAAAGGATTAGTCGGACCTCTAGCTTCAATTGCCCTTGAATTAATGGTATCCAGGGGCTTCAATAATGAACAAAATTCATGTTCTAGCAAAGCCATCTGCAGGATGTGAATAGAATTGAAGCAGAATATAACCTTGTTTGTATCAAATTCGCCTTTCCACCCTTTTCCCTTTCTGCTCTTTGAAAAGATACTCAAACAAGAAGAGGGAGTATTTCATGGTGAAAGTGTAGCCCATTGCTCATTCTGAGTAACAGCGTTCTCATTTCAGTGATGAATACCACAGGAGTAACACCTCACGGATGTTGCAAGACTTTGCCAACTTCTTCAGCAATGACTTAATCTTTCTGTACCTCTGGGTCTTATTACTACGAGCATCCTACAAACCAATGATTCAAACTCTTGAACCACATACATCACTGGCTGCAACATCAATGTTTCAAAGACAAAGATGAAGAAGCAGCTATACTCAGCAAAGGGCTTACCTGAATGCTGGCCGTGGAGCGATTCTTGCGGGTTGTAGTAGTAGCCATTGTAGTGGTGGTTTCCATGACAGTGGTAGACATTTCTGGTGGCATGGAGGTTGTCTGTGTTGTTCCCAAGATTGATGGGACTTCTCCTACCAGCCGGACACTTCCATTGATTTTAATATTGGGGTTGTTCTCTGCCGCCATGTTCAGTACTTTCAAACCATCATAATAGAGCCCAGAGAGTTGGCCTTGGAAGAGTCGTCCTTTGTCCTTTCCACCAATGGCTATTTGCGCCTGGGTGTTGAAGATGGTTAACTGCCGGCCTAGTGGGTTGGGTGGAGGAAATAATATTATTTCCCATACATTTTCCCTCTTAGCCTTACCTGGTCTGAATGAACCAGGCTTCGTAACAGGCTCCCTTGAGCAACTGAGGAGAGAAAAACGGGTAACAAAACTTCTTTCTATACAGCCATTGGCAAGTAACATTTCAGAATGGTTATCTCTTCCACTGCCTAGCTGAAACTCATAGATAAGGTGAATAAAGTCTCTTATTTCTTTATTCTGTGATTGAAGAAATCTGGTTTAATATTCAAAGATTTGCAGTCTTGTTGGGTAAACAATTATGAGTGACAAAGAAACACCCAAATAGGGTGATCAATAGAATAAGTCATACATGACTATTGCATTGATTTTTTAAGCTACAAGTTAACATAACGATGACTAAAAATAATTATATAAAGCAAACAAAAACACAGTGAGGTGACTCACAGCATTGAATTTTTTTTAAAAAGGTCTAATAATTTTATTAAATTAGCTAAAATGAAATCTAGTTTATAGACTTGGATTCACTGCACAGCTATGAAAATGAACATTCTAGTGAATAGACACACCATTTCCTGTAAATCTTCATAGTACCTGACATTGTGTATATATTATTGTTTAATGTCATTACAGATACAGTACTGTATTAATTTCAAAAGGGGGATGGATTATGACCACACAACTAAAATATAACTAAATCATTCCTTAAGATAAGAAAATAAGTAGGCATTGATAATGCCTGGGAGAGAGAGGAAGATGGCATTCAGAATCAATGGATAGTAGAGAGATATATGAGTGTGCTGAAAAATGTCAGATCATCACTTGGAGTTCTCATTTGGAAAATATTAATACATGAAGCTATCAGAATGAAATCATGGCATAATAGAGTTCAGAACAGTGAAACTCAGTTAATTGTACTCTCAACTCTTTCCACTTATGAAGGTCTTTATCAATCACTAAATTTTTCCAAGAAAAATCCTAAACAACTTTTAAAAACTTATAATTTATCAATACCAATATACTAAGGCCTTCTTTAGTGTTGTTTCTCCTGGTTACTGCCTTATGCTTTTCCATAGGGAAAAAAAAAAGATTAATGGAATATATAGCTTCTGAATTTTTTTCTACTTCAATGATCAAACACTGTACTTATTCATCTGACCACCTGAATTATGTTAGCTATAAATAACTTGATAATTTCCTTTATTCTCATCTGCTTAATAAAAAAGTACATCTCTAACAGACTGCAGTTTTTGCTCTACAATCTCAAATACATATAGAAGTGTTTTGTGAAGTTTGGCCTTTAGGAGGTCAAACCCCTACTACTACTACTTGCTACTTGGTTGTCTTTTTGGACAGGCAGAGTGGACAGTGAGAGACAGACAGAAAGAAAGGTCTTCCTTTACCTTTGGTTCACCCTCCAATGGTCACTGCGGTCGGCATACCGCGCCGATCCGAAGCCAGGAGCCAGGTGCTTCTCCTGGTCTTCCATGCGAGTGCAGGGCCCAATGACTAGGGCCATCCTCCACTGCACTCCCGGGCCACAGCAGAGAGCTGGACTGGAAGAGGGGCAACCAGAATCCGGTGCCCCGACCGGGACTAGAACCTGGGGTGCCGGCACCGCAGGTGGAAGATTAGCCTATTGAGCCGCGGTGCCGGCCTATTACTTGGTCTTCAAGGATACACAAGGTTTATCTATCCCAGAATTCCTATGTGTAATGTGGAATGTCTTCTCAGTATATAACGGGAGCAATGGAAGAAGCAGGGAAAGAGAAATTCACCTGCTAGAGGGGACTCCAGAAACACATCAACTCTTCTCATTGGGCAACATTTTTAGGTCTACTTAAACAATAATGATTTGAACATCATAACCCTATGGAGACTTCAAACACCATGTTGGTCATCGGTGAAAATATTTTGTTATAGTGAAATGATCTATATTTCATAAAAATCTCTTAAGTAAAAAAATGTGACCTACTGGTCTTAAGGATAACAGAATTGTCTGGATACAAATCGAATGAGCAAAAGAGATCCAGGAGATTGCCATTATTCGCCCACCAATTCCAACAATGACCTGTGCACATGAATCGTTGCCTATCATTTGGTTTCTGTGCTTTTTCACAATACACAACAAGAAGTTCACATCTCTTTAGTGTTTATTTTTGATGACAGCATTTTCTGGAATCCTCAGCTATAAACCAGTGAAATTTTATATTCAAAGGGGAGAATATATATTCCTGGAACCTCCCATTTGCATTTTTTAGAGCTTTACATGATAAATTAGAATAAACTGCATAAAGGAATTACCTAGATGAACTCCATATCTTACACTAGATAACCTCAATGCCAAGGTACCACTTTCATGCAAAAAGTGCTGGCTGGCAAATCTTAATATTTATCCAGTTCTTCATTTATAGATGCTCCAGCACTGGTGGTCAGTTAGGGGTTGCTTAACCTGATCAGTTAACTGTTGTATTAATCTTCATTATAGATATGTTTTATAGTCTAATATTCTTCAAGGTAATTCATAATGATAACCTCTATAATGTCTCTCATCCTATTTTTCTGTCAGTAGTGTTGATTCATAAAAATTAAAAAGAATTGAAACGCATAGCTAAATGAACTGGCTACAGATAATGGATCACTTTCATTCCATCTACCATAATTCACTCCATAAAATGGTCTTTGCTTGTTCAAGACTAACACAATGCATCTACAAAGGCAAGATGTGTTTCCTGGGCTATATGAGGGGTTATCAGAAAATTCATGGAAAATATGGATTACAAAAAAATAGATTAAGATTTCTTTGTACTTAAATGTTCCATTTAATTCAATTTTGTATGAACTTTCTCAAGTATCCAGTTAGATTTAAGCCAATATCCCTCTCCTAGTTATCACTGCTTTCCCAGAGATAAAATTAATCATTTATTGGAAACAAGACACTGTTGGGATAGGAATGGGAAGGGGTTTGTCTTTGTTTCAATTTTGTTTGTTTGTGGTCCCTTTCTAGCTAAATATACTTTTGTTCTGTTTCACAAACCTCTCAGCTCTATCTTGGGTTAGTTGCGCATCAGCAAAGTCAGCATTTACTCTAAGTGCAGTGGAACACTCAGGCTTCTGTCATCTTGTTCTTGAGCTGATGGATCCTTCTTGCCCGGAAAGGCCTTAGTGCCCAAGTGTGACATAGACAACACTACCCAGTTCCTCTGAAAGATGTCAAGGACTGACTGGAGAAAAGGAATCCCTTTTTATCATTTGCCCACAATCTCTCAAAATCAATACATACCTCATTATTGTCACTTCTTATGGCCAATCTTATTTGACAAGTTTTCATCATACCTATATCTGTATCTATACACATACAACCTAAGAGTTGTTCTACCATCAATACAAAATGTGGTGATCACAGTAGTGTGGGATTTTTAGCAGGTTACTTTTGATTTTTGTTTTAGGTACCCACCTTCTTGGAAGTGATTAATTGCTACCTCATTTGTACATCAAGCTCACATACTGCTTAAATTAAATCTCTGCAAATCTCCAGTCAGCACTGCACAAAAACTAATTAATTAAATCTCAGGTCATCCTGAGGGAATTGGCGATTGTATTTCTTCTCTCCTCAGAAGGGAAATCTGAGATATAAAGAGGTTAACTGGATTGTTTAAGGTCAGAAATTTTCAGTCAATGGTAGATAGAACCAAAAAGACGACTTGGGAATGCTGTGACTCAGCACTCTTCCCCAGTGACAAAAATAACTACAAGGAGGCATTTTTACTTTCTAAGGCATCTAATTGTTGTCTATCTTAACTCTTTGTGCTCACTGTTTTGCAAGGTCTTTTAGTATCTAATTTCTATTTCCATTAAAGAGAAAGTTAGCTAGGCAGAGGAAGAGGTAAAGCAATAGAATAAAGTGATGTTACTCGCCCAGATTACAAAAAAAGTCTATGCAATGGAAATCATAGTTTACAAGTCATTATTTTCAACATTCCATTCATGTATAAACATACAGTGCGTCAAGAAACTAGAATGCCTCCCTTTCACCCACCTCAACCACCCCAACCCCTGTCCAACCCAGCAACCTGTGTATTTGAAAGCATCCTTCCACTGGAAAGGAATGACAATGAGGCTATTATAAGGAAAACTAAAACCTACTCATAACTCTATAATGGTTTATACAAATGAAAATGCCTGGCATGCTATTAAGCTTATACTTCAAAAGGCAATGGAAAAAAATAAATATTAACATAAAATTGAAAGAAACAAACAAAAGTTCTCTCAGGCATATGAGACTCAGACATGCATCTACTTTTCTTTTCCTTTTTAAAAGTGAGGCAATCATTGTCTTTAATGTTAAAGGGACTTTATGCGTTGGTGATTTACTATACAAAATTATTTGCTTTTTAGAGTTATTGTTAATTTATTTTTAATTAGACCACTTAAGTTGAAAACAGGGCATACAGTTAAGACTTGGTGATAATTTTCCATGTTTCAGGATCCAAAAGTCTTCACTCAAAATAGTAGGAGTACATTGTTTTTAAGTTATATGTAATATAGCCAACTGCTCCTATATACCTTAACCAGCTACCTACGAATGCTAAGAGCTCACTTAAGGTCTTGAGACAGAAGTAGCTCACAGTAGCTCAAGAAAGAACACATTAAGTAGTTTCTTAGACAGTGTTCTCCATTGCAAAATAGTCAAATCGAAGCCACACAGAAAACTCAGTCATAACTGCTGCCCTCTTTTGTTGACAGAGTGGCTGTTTGCTCCAGCAAATCAGAAACTGCTGGTTTGCTTTTCATGAGCCTTTCTCTTTCCAGCTAATTGTCTTAACCACTCACACTTTTGTTGCATAATATATCAAACGTACAACCTAAGTGTGAGTTTCTTTTGTCTTGTTTTAGCTTAGGTTGACCACCAGAAGACAACTAGTATCTTATAAGATACTTTTGCCTCTGTAGGTTTGAATTTAAAGGCAAAATTCATTTTTCTCATTCTTTTCTGTTACAAAACAAATGTTAAAAAATATACTGCTCCCTTTATAACATTTGTTTTAAGCCGTTTAAATTACAAAAGTCAATCTATGAATTTTTTTTTTGTTAACCATATTCAGACAGTAAAGCCAAAACAGCCTCAAAAGATGTAAGTTTTAAAAGTAATTTTTGGAATTTCCTTAGAAAGCTTTGGACTAAGAGGTAATTTAAAACAAATTAACAATTAAAGTCATGCAGTGGTTAAATTGCCATAATACATTTCTTTTTTTAGAGGTCCCTGGAATTTCTTGTTTGAAGTTGTCACATTGAGAGCAAGCTAGATGTTAGTCCCTTTAACTGTATTTTAATGGCAATGTATTATAGCATGATTTATCAACATATGGCAAGTGGAAGCTGACACAAATTATAATGAAAATTAAAACAGTCATTTATGCAGCAGGCGATTATCATTTAAGGAACATTTATTTGCAGGCTTTAAAAATGAGGGTTTAGAATCAAATGATTTTAAAATGAAAGTTTTAATGACGGTTACCTTTTTCTTGCAGCCACTCCTCTACTGGCCGGTTATATTTGAAGGGGATTTTCTGTTTTACCATTTGGAAGCGTTCATTATCAGTGTTGCCTTTAAAGTTTAAAAAACAGCTTAAAGAACAATCTGAAAAGTCAATATGTCATTCAAAAACATCCTAGGTTTTGGTTTGTTTTATGAAGATTTTAGAGCTAGATATCAATTTATCTTTAGTAGAGGTGGAGTCGAAGGCACTCTAGTCTGAACCGAGTGGTTCCTAGACAGGTTGATCCGGGCTATGCAGTGCTCCATCATGCTTCGGCAAGGCAGGATGGAATGGGAATCAGAAAGAGGTGTGACCATTTATAGGTTTGGTGTCACTGTCCCTCTTATTCCAATTACTCCTTAATTGGGCCAGTTGAGACACAAATGTTCTCCTTGACCTAAGAGTAAGTTACCTGCCAGAATAGCCTCACATGGGCTAGGAACCCCTGAGCTCCTCATTTATGCATGCTCCACTATTACTCTACTGTGTTTTCATCAGTCTAATTGGGGAATAGCCTTCCTTATTTTCTTATCAAGTTTTGACAACTCCTACTTATGGCAGAAAGAAGTGAAAGAAAATTATTTAAGCCCTGATATCCAAAAGATATTCTTATTCCACTAATGTGGGCTTGGCATAACATTCCTATGTTAACATAACATACCTATGTTAAATAGTAGAGTACTACAGATAGCTCTTTTGATCTTCTTTCCCCACCCTTGTCTTTTATTTAAAAAAAGAGAATTTCAATGAAAATATCTAGAAAATAAATGTAATTATAAGTACAGTGATATAGCATATATAGACTTTTGAACACCTACATTTTATTGCTACTACAAGATGCTGACTTTGAGTATTTACCTAATCCCTCTCCTGTACCTTCTTGTGAGAGAACCTTCCCAAATAAGCATTCATTCATCAAGCTGGTTAGGGATACTTCTTCCAAGCATAAAATATCTATCTCATTAGCTTCAAGGCTCAAACATAATGCATTTAACTGCTAACATGCCTCCTTTTTCCTTCCATAACTGTTAAATCACTCCTGGATGGTTTCTCTAATTAGGACAAACTTGGGAAGTAATGTTGTGGAGATACACCCTTAACGAATATGCTTCATGTAACAAAATAATGAAGCCATGCTTCAGGGACTGTTCTATCTCACCAACCAACCTCACATGGCTCTACCAGAAAGTAGTGAACTGGAATTCATTACTTTTGATTCCTAGCCTTGATTCATAATGGGGAACTTCATAGCAAATAACCAATATTAAAAAAAAATGAAATACAAATCTTTAAACAGGTTGTTTGGAAGCAATCTATAAAGAAGCCTGAAAGCCATAAGGGATATAAAGTTTGAATATGGTGTCAGATCATGTGAAGGGAGGCATGCCGTGGCATTTTAATCATAGGAATGTCTCTATATAGGAGTTATTATTGACTGAGAAAATTCCACATCTGACTGAAGTAGAACCTGTGTTCAATGGGTGGGAGCATTAGGATAGAAAAAAGTAATAATCAGAGATATTTGCAAGCTTTCCTGTTCACTTCTCCTGGGAACAAATTATTCTCAGAAGCTGACTCATTATCCTCACTACCCAGGGATTTGTATGTGAAACACAAAACAATTCCCATGGAAGAGGCATCAAGCGATTCTGCTTCCGGTCTACATTATGAGACCCTCCCTATCTGGCTTGCACAAAGCATAACATGGTAACATATCAAAAGGTATCATGCAATGAATAGAAAGAACAATTAACAGTTTGGGATTGCAATGCATAATTTAAAGTTTTTCTCAAAGTATCACTTCTCAGAGAAAATAAAAGAAAGGGGCAGGCAAGGAGGGACAGTGGAAGGCAATTTAACTTCTTGGTGCCTCAATTAGACCATAGTGAAAGAATGTGGTTATTCATGTTAACATAGCTACCAATTAGCAGTCATTATAATAGTCCTCACTGGTGTATCTGGATAGTGAGAACTCTATTAATCCAAAATAAAGTTGGGTAAATTCTCAGATTCTTTCATAGTAAAAGGACTTTGTGCTTTTCTGAGAAGAACCTACATCTTTAGATCTTCCCAACAGGTGATAGTTACCATAATGTGTGCCATTCATCCTTCAGAGTTTTAGCCACAAAAGAATACTCTACTGAGAAATGGTCATTGGATTGTGACACATTCACCTCGAACTTGTTCTATTACTTCACATTTTCTGTATCTATCATTACTGACTACAATATTAAATAGTCCTATGGTAATGACCTTCATTCTACTTACTGTGGAAGACATTAGTCAAGTCAACAGCAAATATAAAGCTATATAGGCAGGACAAAATCAGAAAAAAATGAAATTCCAAATTTCCAGAATTTTATATTAATTAAGTAGCTGTATTTGTTTACTTCCTCCAAATACATAGGGCTCAAGGACCTCTGAAGCATCCTTGTATCTATCGTCGACTCCCTTTCCAATAGTGAACACTGACAGAAGCTCACTTTCTCATTCTGTTTTTGTCTCTGTGTGTCTCTCTGTAATAAATACAGATTAATATTTATAAAGAATAGGCTTTCCCATCAACTTAAGCCCTTATCTTATACAATGGCACAGTCTTGAAGAAAAGATCACAGTGTCGGATAACCACTAAGTGACATGGCGGGAGGACAGCATAGCCACGATTCAACCTTTGACCTTTCTGAAGGCAAAATAGAGTCATTCTTCTCCACCTCAGCTTTAAAGACATTTAGAAAAAAGTTTTACGTTTTCCACACCAGGTTGAGAACATCTGGCGTTGAGGACAGTGATCTTGCATACTGCTTAAAGTTGTGAAAGATGGAAGGTGATGTGGAAAACCAAACCGGTTTAAACTGCCACATTAACATTGTGCTTAGTCTCTTTTCATGTTCTTGTTGGTTTTTATTTTAAGTTATATCAAACATTAGTCAGAGCTGTTTTAGAAACATGTGCATGAGAATGAGTTCATTCACCTCGAGCTCTATTTGCTACATCCACTGAAGAGCAAACAACCTTCTAAGTATAAGAATGAATACGCAGGACTACTCTGAAAGCTGAACAAATCTCATTAAATTCATACACACTCTTAGCAAGTCCTTAATGACATTCATTGTACATTTCATATAGCAACCAGTATGAAAATTTAAATAAAGAATGAAATCTATTCTTCAACAGAAAGTGAAGTTGCACTCAGAAAGATGGCCTTATGAACAGTAATGTCATAATGTCATTAAAAGGAGGCATATGTGCATTACTAATTAGACCAAAAAAAAACCTAATGACAGCCGATCTTAACCACGCTGAGAGATCTATAAGTTGCGTGAAGTGGTCTTCAAATAAATAGTTCTTAAATTGCTTATATAGATCTAATACTCACATGAAACTAGATTTTGGAGAAAAAAGTACAATTTTATTCTAGATAAAATACATTTATATGTGTCTGTCTTTAATGCATCAATTTTTTAAAGAGGAATTGAAATTTTTATACAACTGGCCTCCTATTGTCATTTTCATTTGAACTATTGGCTCTATTATTAAATATTTCAACTCCTGGAGACTTGTAAAACATGCACTGTTGAATGACGACATTGTGAGGAACAGAGTACTCAGAGGTGAAACTGCTAAGGCCCAACTGGTTCATATACATAGCTCCAACATTAACACAGAACTACCTCACTTTCCCCAAATTTGTGTGAATCTATTTAAGAGATAAAGAAAAGGAGGCAGAAAATAATAAGACAAAGAAATTACACTGACTCTTGAATAGGTACCCAATATATATCTATCTCTATTTAAGGTGAGGACTTGAAATTTGTTAATAGTCCCAAAGGAGTGTTAATTCTTTCAAGTGAAGAACTGAAAGTAGAACTCTTGTATAACACAGAAAATAATGTTCACAACATTATACCTACATTTATCAGTCTAAATACAAGCCTTATTCATTAGAAGTTATATTACTTTCCTCATGGCCATAATCAATACAGTATAAAAATTAAGACCATGGGTTTTGGAGACCAAGATGACTTCAAACTCTAACTTCATCATTTAGGAACTATGTGACCTTGGCCAGGTCACTTAGCCTCAGTTTTCTCTTGTTCCCATTTTATCAGAGAGCCTAGTATAAAATAAGGGGAGGTACAGTTTTTATAAAGCCACATATGAAAGACATTCTAGTAATTTAAACACTTAGTATATTTCAAGTCTTTTGTAATGGTCAAAGGGAAGCAAGGTGGTCTCCCAAGTCTCCAAATCTTATCAGACCTTCATTCAGAAAAGTCATATCCCATTTGATATCACAAAGGTTTTGCTGCAAAGATCAACAAACCACAGTAAAACAACCTACATGTATCCTAAGTCTCCCAGATATTGCTTTGTATATTTCTGTATCTTTTAAAATATATTCAGCTAACACCATTTCCAAAATAAAGTGGGTTTCTAAAGCTACTGAAAGTGAAAGAGCAATTCAGGCATTGACAAATGGGATTTCTTGGTCCAGCCATAGGTAATGATGACATACTGCAGCTCAGCTGAGAAAGAGTGGCTTAAAGGTTCTGGCAATTTGCAGTAGGCTGGCAGAAAACGCTTTCTTGCAGGTGGACCATTAATACCACCTGAGATGTTGTCAAGCATGTGAACTTGCTAATAGGAATATCGTAACAACATTCATCTGTGCAAAATTAATGCCAGAGGAATGTTTGCATTTGGTTTACAGCCCTGGAATAAAGCAAGAAAAAGTTTCCTTTATTGCTTTGGTGACACTAAAAAATGAGATCGTGGGTCTAATGAGCAGTCAAAGACTGAAGACTGTGTACTGGAGCCATAGGCAAAAGAAAATCGATGTGGGTAGGCTCAAGTAGTATGGCAGTTAAGAGGTCCTTGCCATGTCTCTGCCCCCAAAGAACACTTTGTGAATTTCAAACAAATACATGATTCTAAAGGAAAGCAACCCAGGGAGACTCCAAGCTTGGCCACTTTCCTGGCACTGACCCAGACCAACTCTTAGAGCCAAAGAGGGAGGTGGTGTGCCACCCAAAGGCCTCTACAATGTTTGCCCACTTGTAAGTGATGG